TGCAATTGATCTCAGAAACTTGTACAAAGCTCCAGAAGCCTGAAACTCCACCTTGGGAAGGCTGCCGACCAGATATTGGCTTGGGAAACACCTGCCGACCACCCTTTATGGTGGAAACCAAAAAAGGTGGTCGGCCTGCCAGAAAACCTGGTCGGCCGACCACTTTCTGCCCCTGGATCCTGGTTTTTCTGCAACAAAGGCAAGAGGGAGAGAAAGCAAGGTATTTTCAACATATGTGTGCAAGACCACTCTCCTCGTCCTTGCACAAGCTCAAAGGAGTGTAGACCTCGATCTTCGTGCCACTAATCACGTATCTCAATGCATGATGGCCGAGAAATCGAATTGCACGACTCAATGGGACGTGAATGCACATATAAGCAAGTAAAACCAACAACTCTATCATGGATAGTCAAGAGTGTCAACGACTGAAAATTGAGACACGTTTCGTCACTTTGAGTACGAAACGCCTCTCGTTTCCCGTATCTGGACTAACTCCTACTCCAAACACAATGCAATATGCATGACATGTACAAATGCAACTAGCATACAATCCTAATGCAATGTGACCTAACCATGCAAACATGCAAGGATGAGATGCAAACAAGCTAATAGCATACACAATGCTATAAACTATATGGCATACCCAATGCGACTAACGACCTAGCATACGTAATGCACACACGAAGATGGACATACACAAAGGAATAATCAAAGCATATACAATGCGATGGTCAAACATGCAACAACATGAACCAAATGGCATACACAATGCAAGGTGGACTTAAACCAATATGAGTGGACCTCAGCCACACTCAAATCAGTGGCCATGTGATGAAAATGAGACAACCAAGATACATGCAAATATGCACGAATGCAAAGGACCAATCCTAAGGCACAACATGCAACTTTAACTAAGCATGGCAAAGGATGAGATATAGCATAGAATGGCACATGATACAGCTCTAAAATGGCATAAAAGATGGTCCCGAAACATGCAAATATGTCACCCAATGCATGCTAGATGACCTGGGTACCGAAACTAGTGAAGTGCGTTACACTAGAGATACCCAAAGCAATGCACAAATGACAAAACCAAACCCAAACAGACCCTAGGAAGGTCTGAAATAGTGGGAAAATGGTCTAAAAAGATGGCTCAACATGCAAAGAAATGAAGCTCATTCAATGGTCTGAAAACAAGGCATTCATAGGCAACTCTCAAGCACACTTAAGGAGTAGAAAACATGAGAATATGGCATTCATATAGGCTCTAAAATATGATGTATAATGGCCCCAAAAGAAGAAAACACCTCGGTATGTGCATGGAATGGACCTCAAAACTCAAAGTTAAGCATGAGTATTGACCTACAAGCATGCAAAACAAACATCATTCAATCATGAGACCCAAAAATAGAGCTAGGACAGTCCAAAATACACACCATATCAGTTTAAGGCATGGCCAAAAAGTGCTAACATGAAGGGTCAACAAAGCATGCAAAGAAAGCTAGTGAACCATGAGTTGTACTACAACTATATGAAGAACATGAGAGCTCACCAAACCAGCCAAAAACAGAAGTATGCCGTGCCAAAATATGCCCCAAAACCCACTGAAACTCAGTCAATGCATGCAAGAATGATAAGCTCCTTTGGAAGGCCCCTTTGGAAGGCCATGCGAGGGGTTATTCTACACATGTATGATGGATACACAAAATGGAAAAACCACCTCTAGAAAGAGGTTATGAGGGTCCTAAAACCCACCAAAAAGGTCCTGAAATTAGTCTAGAAAGCATGCAAGTGAAAGCCCCTTTGAAAGGCCTTGAATAGGACATGCATAATAGACACTTAGGCCTCGTTTGGAAACAGGCTATTTTAGTAACTTTTTGGCTTTTTGGCTAAAATGTAAAGAAAAAAAAACCTAGTTGTTTGGCATAAACTTTTTGACTTTTTACGAAAATATGTGAAATAAAATAAGATAAATAATGAGAAGGAGGGTAAAATGACCGAAATGGCCTTATAGCATGTCAGACTACCTGTGAATGTGTCACTGACCTCTGCAAAGTGTTGGATGTGAAGTTGTTTTCTTGGACAACGCAATAGGAGGGTTGTGTGCTGTGTAAATAATACAATGCATTTCTTTTTATTATACAACAACGGTCAAAATTTATTTCTTTTTCAGTATTCTACACGTGTCACGTAATATTATGTAAATAATATTTACGTTCATAAACATAGCCATTTTATGTATATGGGATATGGATGGTACTTTTGTGTATTGTAATAATTTGTTATGAAACATCACATTTTATGTTAAAAATAAAAAAAATTTAAATTTTTTTTAAAAAAAATCCAACAAATTATGGGAGTGTTTGGGAACTTGGCTTTTCAGTTTTTTTATTTTTTTATTTTTTCAGTACAACAAAAATGTCTTTCAAAACCCAAAAAAACAAATCCCTCACAAAATATCATATCAAATCCCATACTATTTCAATTTTTTTGTCACAAATATCACATCTAATCACAAAAAAAATCCAACTATCTTCCCAAACACAAAGGGTCTGTTTGGTGTGCCGTTTTGTAACACGTACGTTTTCAATTTTCTAATTATATTTACAAAATGTAAACAACTGAAATATAAACTTGTTTGGTAAATTTCAATTACATAAATCAGTGGTCTCTGTTTATAAATTTGGCCACAAAATGTAAACTTAAAAAATGTGTATCCGTTTTGAGTTTTGAATTTTTCTTTTTTTAATCACCCAACACTAGCCACCACCCGCCACCATTTTCCACCACCGTCTTCTGCCACCACCACCCAACCCCCACCACCATCTTCCGCTACCACCACTCACCACCCACCCGCCACCACCACTCACCCACCACCCACTACCCACCTGCCACCTACCTGCCACCACCGCCGCCGCCACCACCACCACCCACACCCACTACCACCACCACCACCACCACCCACCACTCGCCACTGTCACCCACACACCCACCACCGTCACCCACCCATCCGCCACCACCCACCCACTGAAGACTACCGTCACCCACCCACCACCACCACCCACCACCACCACCATCACCCACTACCCACGTACCACCCATCTGCCACCAGTACCCACCACCACCACCCACTTGCTACCACCCACCACCCGCCATCGTCACCCACCTATCCACCCACCCGCCACCACTCGCCACCACCTGCCACCGTCACCCACCCACCCAGCATCACCACCCGCCACCACCACCACGACCATCACCCACCACCCACGTGCCACCCACCTGCCACCACCACTTGTTACCCACCACCCATCGTAAACAGACATCCATTCCGTTTTCAATTTATATTTAAAAAAAATTAACAGATTGTAATAAAAATTTGTTTGATAATTTTTTTGGTTGAAAATGAGTTTACAAAATTTGACAAAAAAATCAAAAAAATGAGGAAACGTTTTTAGTTATCAATTTTTTTCAATTAATTTTTTTATCAAATGTAATTTATTTTCAAAATTTGTTTTCAAGTAATTTTTTCCTCAAATAAATTTATTTTCAATTTTTTTTTTCAATTAATTTTTTTTTCCCAATTGACCTTTTCGATCAAATATTTTTTTCCCAACTAATATTTTTAAATTAATTTTTTAATAATTTCCATTTCTTTTTCAAAGTTTTTCGAATTAGTTTTTTACCCAATTATTTTTGTCCAAATTACATTTTTCATTCAATTATTTTTTTAATTAATTTTTGGTCATTTACAATGTGTGTGATTCCATTGTCATAAATAACGAAATTATGTAAAAAAGATTTGAAAACAAATAAGTTGCAATTCGGATTACTACAAGGCACAATACCCCCCAAGAATTCAACAAAATTGAAAATCATTTTCTATGTCCTACACATAAATCAATCATTTTTTTTTCTCCGCTTTCTTTCTAAATAGCACATGTCTCTCAGACACATCCACTCAAGTACAGACTAATATACAATCTTTTTAAATTCCCACATCTTTCTTTCTAAATCGTGATCAAATACATTATTTTTTTTATTGCATTTCTTAAATACTGATTTTTATTTTAGTTGGTTGAAGACAATTTTGTGCCATGTTTTTACGTGATGTAATTGGGCACAATTATAGACTTTACAGTTATTGCATGTAATATGTGTGACGAACTTCGTTATGACAATCTGTGAAATAGGGATTTTGCATTTACCATACACGCATGCAAAGTACGACGATTTCGAAAGTTTTTTTTTAAACATTCGTACATCTTCAAATATCTAAACAGTTTTGTACGTTATGCATACAAAAGTATAAAACAAGACAGGGATGACAGTTTTCACAAAATACATACTACGGAAAACATTTAAAAGCAGTCATGGTAAACAACACTGTCCGACTACCTACCATTGCGCCGAATTTCGTATAACTCAGCCCTTATCCGATGACGCACCTCCACCATTTCAACGTCCTCGTCCGTAGCCACCACGGCTTCGTCTAGGGCAGCCAAATCTGCGCGATCGGGAATATCGGCATACGTGTACTCCGCCGCATTTCTGACAGCAGCAATGGTCGCATCATCCTCGCAGTTTCTGCGTATGAAATTGTGTAATGCCATAGATGCAGTCACCAACGGCACCTGGACTCTACGAAAGTCAAACCGAGGCATATTGTGCAAGAATCTCCATTACGACTTCCAAGCGCCAAATGTTCGCTCAATCACACTCCGCAATGAAGAGTGGGCACGGTTGAACAACTCATCACGATTTCTCGGCTTGTGACGTTGAAAGTGTGGTTGGTGATAGTGGCTGCCCTTATATGGTGCGAGAAATCCCTTCTTATTACTGTATCCGCTATCTACTAGATAATAGCAACCTGTGAATGTGTACATATTAATACATTTTTTGTTTCACGTGTGGGCAAACAAATTTAACAAGTTATGGCATTGAACAAATAAACTGTGCGTACGTACCATCCACTGCAGTTGGAAAATTATATTGTGGATCCTCGGTCACAATGTTTAAAATCCGGCTGTCATGCATGCTACCCTCCTAACCACATGACACAAAGACGAAACACATATTGAAATCACACACTGCCAAAATATTTTGAGTGTGGCAACCCTTTCGGCTAAAATACGGGGCTGCTTCGGACTCCTTTATGTACGCTGGCACGTGTGTCCCATCCAATGCACCTAAACAATCCTACACAATTCGCACAAGTAGGCAACGTATTAGTACCATGATGACATGCATTATAGCCGCGCAATTTTTTGAAGTCACATCTTTGTAGAATTTGCGGAAATAAAACCTTGAATTGTTGCATTTTTTTTGCACCTTAAACGGCAAATACTGTGGTTGGCTCTGCAGGTGGGGATCCCTCCTGTTTTGGAAATCTGTGGGCGGCCGACAGTGCGCGACGGTAAACTTTTTCATTGCTTTCAGAACATTATGAAAATGACGTGATATTGTTTCACCGGAGTGTTGGAATCTTTCTTGAAGCTCGCGGTTAGGCAAGTTTTTTAGGACGTGAATGAAGATTGCAACACTCTCCTCAACGTGCAAGCCGTGGTCCCGCTCAGGTACATGCAACCCGAAGTCGTTCACTAGTGTGCCACATAAACGGGTAAAAACGACTTTGGGCATGCACAGTTCATAGCGAAATATGCCACTGTGTCCATTATACAATTCCAAAATCCATGCCCTCCCCGTCAATATGGACGTCCGACATGGAACTTTAAGCACGTGCGCCCTGTAGTAGTCGGAGGCAATTCTATACGCTTCAACATAATTATTATTCATTCCAGTATGCCACTCGATTGCGAGCGCCGTGACATCATCACACATTTCCTGCATCCGTGCATCAGTGTCATCGTCGCTTTCCATGCCTAAATCACATAACTTCAAATGAAATCAGAAGCATAACATGACAGACTACTACTCTGCCAAAATTAAATATGAAAAAATTAATTTTTGTAAAAAAAAACTGTTAAGGCTGTCAATAACAGGAGTATTATGCATAAATAATCAATTTATTTCATTTGCATAAGTTCTTCTGAGACCTTCTATTGTATTAAAGTAGTTCTGTTGGCACGGTTGAAATCGTGAAGTCATTTACTTGATGTATAAATAAGCAAAAAAATTTTCCCTTTTATGACTAATAAGCAATACAGAAATTGCAATGAGATATACAAAAACACAACGTTAAATTAAAATATACAAAAATAATAACTTAAATTATTTTGCTTGTTTAGTACCTTACAACGGGTCTAACTTCCAATTTTTAAGTTGAAGGCTTCAGTAAACTGGACATGTCTCTCTGCAAGTAGCAACGCTTTTGTTGAAATGGTCTAGTACAGCTGATTTATAACAACCACTGTTTACATAACTATGAAGCTGCAAATTGGAAGAGTGTAATCAGATTCATGGTTTATTGAAATTTTAAAATTGTAAAATCCATAGCCAATACCCAACCAATGCACATCCATAATTAGAAAACTAGGCAAAGAAAAGGAATAGCATAACCATCTCCCTACCAATTGTCCTTACAAAGCATAGTTGAAAACATCATGTCATTAGCAAATACATAACAAACAAGTTCGAAAAGAAGTCCAACACAAAGCATTTCATTAAAACGCAGCCCTTTAGCAAATATAAGCGAAGTCCAACGCATAAGCGAAAAGAAGTCCAACACGTAACCCATAACAAGTCCAACATACAGCATAGTTAGAAACGAAGTCCTTGACTGTGCAATATGCTTGCAAGAGTTGGAGCTGCTGTCGTCCTCTCTTTGTCTTGTTGCTTCACCTGGAGCCAGCCGATAATGCCTTCATCGGAAGGAATACTCATAACCATCTCCCTATTATTGGGCACCTCCATAAGGGAAATACCGAAATGGAGCAGTGGATTAGTTTGTTCAAGTCCTTGAATTTCATAAAGACGTCAGATAGCTTCGGCCATAGCGACACTTTGTCCACCGACAACATGGTTAACAGTGAGTTCCTTACTTTGTGTCTTCACCGAATTCACCAAATCATCCATGCTTGTTGCCAATGCTTCTGCCCCGGTGATTCGTTTCTTTTGCACGGCTGTGACAGATGAGTGCCTCCTTTTGCTACCACTACCGGATGCGGTAATGTTTGCAGATTTCATCAAGTTTGCAGTTTCAGAGGCACCCAATTCGTTGCTGTCCGTAGAGAAGTCTGCACTATCGGACTCCCCTTCCACCTCCAGCTGGTTCCGCATCTCACCAGGCGTCCAAGCATTTTTTCCTGTTGCCGCAGCCCCCGTGAAAACACGACGCATTAATTCCTCGTGATCCAATCTCTTTGTTCTAAACTTGCAACACTCTTTGTCAACCTGTAATACAATACAATGGGAGTACACCATTACCAAAATGAATAACTTATGAATCACAGAAAATTTTAAACTACCAACATTCAGCAAGTATTAATCAGCCATTATAATAACAAATTTGTCTTGATAGTCCTTACAAAACAGATCTGTCCAACTGTCTGGGCAATTCCATGATTACACATTGCTAAAAGGTAATATATTAATCAAATCTGATACAATCTGTTATAATCTGTCCAGCCAGGGATTATGTCCAGACAGGGATAATCTGTCCAGACATATTTTTTGATATAATCTGTCCAGGAATATAATCTGTCCAGTATATTTTTGCAATAATCTGTCCAGGAACAATGTTGAACACAGCAATGTAAAAATAATATTCATAATAGGGCATACCTAATGGAAGATCTAATCCGCAGAAATGATCAAAATTGCATGTACGCAATCCGACAAAGTGACAAATACTTTAAAACCCAGCTGTTTCAACTCCCAAAAACTAACAAATTAATAAAACCCATAATTAAAAGTGCCAAAACCAGCAATACTATTTTGAATTCTCAGATAACCCATTTACCAAATCCAGAAATGAGACAAACCAAGATGAGACAAGGCTTAAACCCTTTCCCCCCCAAGAAGAACCAATAATACCAACAAAGGTTTTTTTAAGAGGGTTCTAGTGCGCAGATAAGGGTTCATGTAATCTGTCCAGGAAAATGTTACTGGACAGCTTATTGTAACAGATTATTACTATTTTGGACAGATTATTATATGATAGCCAAGTGACAGGCTTTTATTGTAACAGATTATTACTATTTTGGACAGCTTATTGTAACAGATTATTACTATTTTGGACAGCTTATTGTAACAGATTATTGTAATTCCCAGGATCTTACAGTATAGGCTTTTAAAAATATAAGCATATGTTGTCGTCATTCATTAGACATTGTTGGAGTTCATTACATCAAAAATAGAAAATGGGGAAAACAGTGAAACAGAAAAACACAACATGATAGATCCAATTGTGAAAGAAAAATGAAGGTAGAAATCTGAGACGGACTACGCAACGACAAAGTAAAAAGTGAAATCAACTCGTGACAATTATACATTTCAACATTGCTGAGATGCTGATGGAAGTTTTCAAGAAGATCAAACAAAGGTTTTACAAAAAACACATGACATGTCATGCCAAAACTAGTGTAACCACGAAGTGAGCATCACAAAATTATGAAACATGAGTTCAAGTCGTTACCTTCTCCATTGTAGCCCACCATTCATCCGACGCATTGATTAGGCCAGTCTCTTGGTCGAACCCAATTCCAGTGGGACCTTTGCGGCTATCCATTAGTTTCGACCATGCACGCCACTCTTCCTTTAGTTGGTTGTACTTATTTTTTAGTTGTTTCATGCTATGTGTCAACCCAGTCGCTGCCTCAAAAGTCTTTGCCAAGGACTGGTACCCATTCAGATTTATTGACATGTGCGGCCTGTTACCTGCATCTATTTCCTTGACAACAAGTTCCAAGTAGATACGTGTGTTCTCCCAGTCTCAATTGGCTTTGTGATAAGGTTTTGGGCCCTTCCCTTTCCCGGAAGGGGTACGAGAGCCGGATCGAGTTGAAGCCATGCGACTATAGAACATTATAATTTGCATTACTTATTAGTTTGTTGTGTACATTACTTGTAGTTGTGTTAACCATATGTTATTATGTTTGTCCAACACATATGCAATAGTAAAATGACACGGATAAGTAACATATTACATAAGGAAAGCATAGTACGGTAACAAGCAACACGCGGATACATATCACATACGAAAACCATAGTACAGTAACCATCTACACACTGTTACATATATTACATACGGAACAACAAGATAGCGACGATGATGGACAAAAAACTTGTGACAACTTTAAGTACACGCAGACCCTGTTCAATGTCAATCAAACGCGCCTCAAAACGACGACCATTGTCTCTGTCATTCTCAGCAGCCGTTTGTCGGCCATATTCGTCACACCACCCAATCCAATTGACACATGGCTGAGGTTAAAAAAAGTTTTGAAATTATTAGTGACGATCTGACAAGGTAATAATCCCAAAGAAGGTGAAGGTGCTTGTACTCACCACTCCACGAGGGCATTGGTAGTACGCACGTCCTGGATTTTTGGCGGACCGAGAAATCTTGACCACATAATGCTCGTACCCACAAGCACACATAGGGCCTGGTTGGGTTGATGTCGCAGTAGACATAAACGAGGCCATGAACTCTGTGAATGTGTGATTCGATGACATGACAGGCACAACAAAACAGGTAAACGGGTGTGACACTTATGGTATGGGATAAGTGTATTGTGTAAACAAAACACAACATTATATTTACAAAAGGGAACATATATTCTTCCATTTTGAATAGGTTTGCTTCCCTAGTCATTTATGTGCAAGTGGTTGAATGCTAAGAAGCGCAGAGGCAAAGATGGGAATTTAGTAAAAAACTAGGATACCGACAAGACAAGACAGAAATACAGCAACAGAAATCTTTTTATTTTTTTTTTAAGATTTCCAAGTTCATGTATATAAATATTAATTTACGAGACACTGATATAAAAGGCATTAATGTATGTAGGTGTATTTTGACGTTCTCAGTTTCCTATCTTTGTTTTTATATATTTTAGTTTGATCTTAATGCATCTTCTAAATCATATAAAAAAGATCACAAATATGATTTCAGACATGTTTAAACATAGGACACATGTATCTGTGAACTGTGTAGTTAAAAAAAACAAATAAGTCATTCCACCTGACGTGTCCAACACAGAGAGGTATCCCTAGCATGTTGGTGCCCCATACATTGACACAAACACATCTATTTTGAAGTGTCAGTACTTCAAGTGTCTTAGACTTTTCCTTGCCTTTCATAATGTGAACATAATTTACACTTGTGATTTGTTATGACAGATTAAAATCGAGGAATTAAAATATTAATCATGATTGACCATACAACAAGCAAAGAGCTTGAAAATAAAAGTTAAAAAAAAACAGAAGCATGGCAAACCAATAATACCAAAATAGCACATGACACACATCAGAAGAAACCTCTTTGATAGCCATGCACACATACTGATGCAATTAACATCTTTGAAATGGGAGAAATGAAAAATCCTCAATCAATTACCATGCTGAAAGACAACCATTCATCACGCTGGAATGACCATGCAGACATACTGATGCAAGTAATCTATCAGTTTAGGAAACATTGTGCTGAGGTGTCTATTTGGGCAACATTAAAATTTGTAGTCTCAAAAAACTAGGTAGGTATGAAGGCAACATAATAACGTAAGATCCCACCACAGCATTAACCATATATTGATAGCATTAAAAGTCAAAGTCATCCTTGGATTAGAAGTTTTATTGTATTAATGTTAATTAAGGCATAAGGACAATAAGCCAACTGATATTTGTCAGGATATACAGTAGG